TCCCCCGCATTCGCGCCCTACCTAGTTCGATCTAACTATCGCGGCATCCTCCGAGTTTTTATACGAGGGGGAGGGTGACCCCTGTATCCTACCCGTTTCCCTGCCTCCGAGTTTTTATACGAGGGGGAAGGCAGATCCCTGTTTGACGATCGCATGACATCAGACCTATTGCCCTCAGTCATGCATCGCCCCTCCCGGAATTCGCGCGCTGCCTCCGATTCTTATACAGGCGAGACAGCAGCCTGTTTGGAGGCGGGGGTTCCAGGACTTGGTCCCTTCGCCCAGCGCCCCCTCCTACCTGCCTACCTACCCGTCGCGAGCTGTGCCTCCGAGTTTTACGGAGGGAGCTCCGGTTGACCCGCCTGTCGCTATGCGCCAGGAGAGTCGCTACCCGATTCCCCGTACAAGGAGAAGCTAAGTCCCTATTCGGGAGACACGGCGCGCCAGAGGTTCATAACCGACTGCCAGGGCCGACCTCCCCCCAGCCACCGCGCTCCCGTGAGAGCAGACCCAGAGGTATCGCGTGTTGGCCATGACCAACCAGCGAACCTCCAGCAGCTCCGGGTTCCGATTCGGTGCCACCCTAGGCGGGTGACACTGTCCACCCCGCGAGCCGCCTCGTGGGCCTGCCTCGGGGTTCCTTCCTTTAGATTCAGGATCCAGAGCGATGACGCTAAGGATCCCTCCTCCTCCGGTCTGCCCACCGAGGGGAAAGACTTCCCTCGGGTTGGCGCACTAGCGCCCGCGAGATACCTTCAGGGCTCTCTCAGTCCCCGCAGGCGAGGGCCGCGGCTTAATTCCTGCCCCCGACTTACTAAGGAGGAATTACGACTATTGTCCACCTCATTCTTCGGCCGTGACCGCAGCACCAAGCGGCGGGACCCGATCCTTCCCGTCTAGATATCCAGGTATACACACCGGTGCGTGCACCCTGCGCGAAGCCAGAGCCCCGTCAGCCACAGGAGGGGTACTCCTGTGTTACCGACTCACACCACGAGGAGGTGGGGTTGGCACATGGGCCCGGTGGCCCTTCTGCGAGTCTGCTTCTCGAGACCTTGTAAAGCGGTAGCCTCACGTGCTTCTCGCAACTGCATGGGTTAGTCTAAGTACGATTGAGGGCCGCTCATTTAAAGTACGTGCACTATTAGATCAAGGCTCTACCTACAGCTTCATATCGGAATCTCTTTGTCAGACTATGAAAACCAGGCGTCATCGCGCCGCGTTGAAAATACACTGTTTCGGAGAGAAATTTAGCAGAGTCGCGCGGTCTCAGGTTAATCTCACGCTCGCGCCCTGCGACGGGCTGAGCCCGATATTCCCCTTTGTGTGCTATGTATATCAACGAATCACTGTGTATACAGCCTCTCAAACCACGCCGGCCAAAACGTGGCCGCTTCTACGCGATTTATCCTTAGCAGATCCTGATCCTTCCAGTAATCACCCGATTCACGTACTAATCGGCGCGGATTTATACGGGTCGCTGCTACTCAACGGCCTCCCCCAAGGCCCCGTCGGCACACCGACGGGCCAGCTCACTGTTTTCGGATGGATAATCTCCGGCCGTGTCGGTACTGCGCGCCCAGCCGGAGAGTCTACTTCCGTCTTGAATTGCGTTTTCTGCGAAGATACGAATTCTTTAATTCAAAGTTTTTGGGAGGATGAAGGTATCCCCACTCGCACTCAGCTCACCGAAGAGGAAGAATGTTGCAAACGTCACTTTGCTACTACGCATTCTCGCAACTCACAAGGACGCTACATCGTGCGTTTGCCGTTTAAAAACGGCCCCCCTCAAATAGGCGTCACTTTTCGAAAGACGTCGTTTTTGTATTCCAAAATGGAACGCAGACTCTCGCAGAAACCCGAGATCTCCGCTCAGTATCACAATTTCCTAAAGGAATACGAATCTATCTCGATCGTCCTCGATACCCCCCGGTATACATCCCGCATCATTTTGTCTTACGCGAATCTAGCACGACTACCCAATTACGCGTCGTGTTTAACGCGTCTAGCACGTCAGGCAATAAAACCGCGCTTAATGATTTCCTAATGGCGGGCCCTAAACTTCAACAAGACATCACCGCGATTATTTTGCGCTGGAGACTCTTTCCTTAGGTATACATGACGGATATCGCGAAAATGTTCCGGCAAATACTCGTGCATCCGGATGACGCGGACTTCCAACGAATTCTTTGGCGCCCTCCCGAGAGTGCTGATTCGGCCTTATCGCTTACTCACCGTGACCTACGGTCAAAGACCATCACCGTTTCTCGCACAGCGCTCCCTTCTTCAATTAGCTCGTGACGAAGGTAAAGATTTCCCCGATGCTATCCCCATAATTGAAGAGTCAACCTACGTCGATGACGCTCTTTTCGGAGCTGACGACCTCCTGTCTCTGCTCGAAAAACGTAGGCAATTCGTTGGCATGATGAATCGCGGATGTTTTCCCCTCCGGAAATGGGCCGCGAATTCAGTCGAACTTTTGACGGATATCCCAGAGGACCAACGGGAATCCTCGGATTATTCAATCAATCGCGATGACACGCTCAAGGCCCTCGGCCTGTCTTGGTCGCCGCATGATGACTCGTTTCGTTTCGTAATTTTGCCATACGCCGTTACCGTTCATACCAAGCGCTCAGTTTTATCATTTATTGCAAAGCTGTATGACCCACTCGGCTGGGTGTCACCTATAGTTATCGCGGCCAAGATGTTGATGCAAGAACTCTGGCTCCGTAAAATCGATTGGGACTCTCCCATCCCCGATGATCTTCTGCATCAGTGGATCAATTACTTTTCTGATTTGCCTAATATTAGTGAAATCCGCATTCCTAGATGGACAGGGATGCGTCAAGATAAAATTAACATTGAATTACACGGATTCGCGGACGCGTCCATTCGAGCTTACGCCGCAGTAGTTTACCTTCGAATCGTGCATTCCCCAACGAACATTCAGGTAGCCCTCCTCTCGGCTAAAACGAAGGTCGCGCCGTTAAAAACAGTCAGCGTTCCACGATTGGAACTTAACGCCGTCGTTCTATTAACTCGGTTACTGGAATGGGTAAGAAACACCATGCGCTTGATGCAAGCTCAATTATTCGGATGTGGATCGGACTGATTTCCAAATCGCATTGGCTTGGCTTCAACAACATCCATCCCGATGGAAATCCTATTTCGCTAACCGCATCTCCGAGGTGCAAACGCGTCTTCCTTCCGTACGTTGGCAGCACGTTCGCTCTCAAGAAAATCCTGTCGACTGCGCCTCTCGCGGCTCGACTGCTGCCGATCTCGTCCACCATGAATTATGGTGGTCAGGGCCCCAGTGACTTACCCAATCCCCAGCCTCGTGGCCGTCCCTCCAGATTCCTATCAAAACGGATATGTTGCAAACGGTATCGGCCGAAGCCCGCAAGGCTGGTTCCGGTGCCGTTCATCTTGTCGATCCTACTCCAGAGTGGGATCTGCCCACCTCCTGCTCGAGCTGGATCAGACTCCTGCGTATTGCCGCATACATTCGATTTTATTCAAAACCTAAAAAAATAAAGTCGCCTCTTCGGCGATAGTCAAGTCACCCTTGACCGCAGAAGAAATCCAAAAAGCTTCCGTCTTTTGGCTTCTATCGGTACAAACGACTTGCTTTTCTGATGACTGGAAGGCGTTAAAAGCTCATGCCGCCGTATCGCGAGCAAGTCCCTTACGCTCTCTCCACCCTTTTATCGGGAAAGATCAATTAATCCGGCTGGGCGGGCGGCTCGAAAACTCTGCGCTGAGTTACAATGAGCGACACCCAGTGATACTCCCTCGACATCATATTTCAGAACTTTTGATCGATCAAGCTCACCGACGCTCCCTCCATGGAGGTACTCAACTCACACTCACAAGGGGACTCTACGACCTGGGAATTTAAGTTTGGAACGAGGCTTCGTGTGATGGTAGTTTACCCTTAGGGTGTTAATATTATTATTACTAATAATATTATTACTATATTATTACTAATATTATTACTAATAATATTATTAATACTAAAACACTAGGGTGCGATAATTAGCCAGTTTCGAGAAAAAAGGGTTCAAAGTTTTCGAGCATCTTACATACAGAAAAGTTGTTCCTCGAATCTTAAGTGGTCCGGCGGCTCAGGCGGTAGCGTGCTTGCTTCACGAGCCCGTGGTAGCGGGTTCGATTCTCGGCTGATACAACTTTTTTTATCCGAAGAATTATTTAATGTATATTATTTAAAAATATATTTATGGAAACCGATTTTTTCGCGAAATTTTCAATTTCTAATATTTTTCATATATATTTTTAATGTTACAGGTACATATTAATAAAGTTATTTCTGCGGAATATTGTGTATAGAAAAAATATAAAATTCATTTCATGCAAATGACGAAATAAAACGTAGGAATAATATTCATAATCTGTTACACATATTTATTGTGAAACTATAATGATGTATAGGAACCAGAATGATAATTGTCATAGAAGCATGGAAAACAAAAGTTCTTTCGACAATTTCGCACAACAAATAAATGAGGATTTCTTACAAGAACAGGGTGTTTTAAAAATATCCATCGAAAAGCACACCTCGTGTACATTCATAAAGATTTCTCTTTCGTTAGAAAGTTTACAAGCATACCAAGCATATTGAATCATAATTACGAAATATGTATGAAAAATAGAAATTGAAACTTTCGCGAAAAAATCGGTTTCCATAAATATATTTTTAAATAATATACATTAAATAATTCTTCGGATAAAAAAAGTTGTATCAGCCGAGAATCGAACCCGCTACCTTGGGCTCGTGAAGCAAGCACGCTACCGCCTGAGCCGCCGGACCACTTGAAAATAAGAGGAACAACTTTTCTGTATGTAAGATGCTCGAAAACTTTGAACCCTTTTTTCTCGAAACTGGCTAATTATCGCACCCTAGTGTTTTAGTACATTAACACCCTAAGGGTAAACTACCATCACACGAAGCGTCGTTCCAAACTTAAATTCCCAGGTCGTAGCGTCCCCTTGTCAGATGTTCCATTTACTACTGCAAGGATTTCTTAGCGCTTCAGGTTCCTCAAAGAATTGCTGAAATGCGCTCTCGAAAAATTTGTCTGAACTGTCTGCGTTCCAGCACTCACATCTCAAACAAATGCACTTCCGGAGGTTTTAAAGTCTGCCAGGCAAAACACAACACGTTGCTTCACATAGCAACGGCCCCGCAACAAGCGCCCGCCACTGCTGGCCCTTTGGGAAAGAACAACGATACTTCAAAATCTAGTGACACCTCATCCGTGGTAACGACGCACGCCACCGGAGGCGAGGGCAACGCCATCTTGTCAACAGCCATAGCTCAGGCGCGCGATCATCAGGGCGTGCTACGACCTTGTCGCATTCTATTGGATTGTGCATCTCAGGCGAACTTCATATCACAAGGATGTCTGACCAGACTCGGCCTCGTTCCCCGATCACTAAGCGTAACCATATCGGGCGTAAATGGAACGGTCGCAACAGCCACGCAAGCAGTAAAAATTGATTTACAATCGCGAGTAGACCCCTACCGCGCTACAATCGACTGCATTGTTTCAGACCACATCACCGACAGACTTCCTATCATATCAATGAGACGAAAGGAATTTGACCTCCCACGAAACATCAAACTAGCGGATCCACAATTCCACATTTCCTCCGAGATGGACCTCCTAATTGGTGCCGAAATATTTTGGGCTCTTCTGTGTGTAAGGCAAATACCATCAGCACCTCGGCACCCGAAGTTGCAAAAAACGAGGCTTGGATGGAATCTAGCGGGACGAATGACTGACTCAAAATCTCTACCAAGGGTACATTCTTTCCACGCATCTATCACCAATGAACAGCTACACGATCAACTAAGTCGATTCTGGCAATTGGACGACGGAATAAACAACTCTGAAAACTTGACTCCCGAGGAAAAATATTGTGAGCAACATTTCTTGGATAATGTTTATCAAAATCCGCAAGGTCGATATGTGGTCAAGCTTCCCGTCAAGAATCAATTAATCAACAAACTGGGAGAGTCTCGAAGCATTGCAACGTCTCGTCTCAAGGGCCTCGAAAAACGATTTAAGCGTCAGCCCGAGTTGAAAGGGAAGTACAACCAATTCATCAAGGAATACATTTCGTTAGGTCACATGCGAAAGATAGATTCACCACCAGATGAAAGTGTGCCATCCTTCTATCTGCCGCATCACTGCGTTTTCAAAGTCAGCAATCAAACATCCAAGATTCGCGTCGTATTTGACGCCTCATGCAAAACCGCCGAGGGTTTATCCCTGAATGATGCCCTTATGGTGGGACCGGTCGTACAGCCAGAACTGACCGCCATACTTATCCGCTTTCGATTCTTCCCCTACGTGTTTAGCGCAGACGTGATAAAAATGTACAGGCAAGTACTAGTGGATCCATCTCAAACGCGCTTACAAAGGATTCTATGGAGAGATGATCCTGAAAACGACATAGATACCTACGAGTTGCTGACGATAATATACGGGACGTCATCCGCTTCATACTTGGCCACCCGGACCCTTAATCATCACGCAGATCAATACGCATCCAGATACCCGATAGGTTCGAGAGCCGTGAAACGTAGTTTTTATGTCGACGACTTCTTGTCAGGAGCAGACACGCTACAGGAGGCTATGGTACTTAGGGACGAATTGATAGAATTATTGAAGCTCGGTTCCTTCGAGCTCAGTAAATGGGCGTCAAATTGCCCAGAGCTCCTCCAAAACATAAGGGATCGCGATAGCGAGTCAATTGCTCTTCATGATGAGACCGATTCAAGTATACTGGACATTCATTGGAATCATATCGAGGACGCCTTACATTTCGCATATGATTCAACCTCCTCTAGCGGCACCGTATCTAAACGTGCAATCTTGTCAGAAGTTTCCAGGTTGTTTGACCCTCTGGGACTTCTCGGACCTGTCATCGTAATCGCCAAGCTAATTCTTCAAAACCTGTGGAAGGCCGGCATCCATTGGGACGAGTCCGTACCGCAGGAACTGCATACAAGTTGGCTAAAACTCAAGTCTCAACTACCTGTTGTAAACCAGTTGCAAATCACTAGGTGCATCAAATTCCATCCAGACCCGCAGTTCGCACAATTGCATGGGTTTTGTGACGCGAGTCAAAACGCATATGGCGCGTGCATATATGTTCACACAAAACTGGAAACTGGGGAATACCGTTCGGAATTGCTGTGCTCTAAGTCATGCGTGGCCCCCCTCAAGGCCGTGTCCCTACCGAGACTGGAGCTTTTGGCGGCGGTTCTGTTAGCCCAGCTGATAACTAAGGTGAGAAACTCATTGGACTCGCCGGTGCAGGCATTTCTTTGGTCGGACTCTACAATAACTTTGAACTGGATAGCGTCATCTTCGCGTAACTGGTCAGTATTCGTGGCAAACAGGATCGGAGAGGTACAACGATTGACTCAAATCAGAGATTGGCCTTCTCCTTATAACCCGGCGGACATACTGTCTCGAGGCTTATATCCTCGTGACCTAGTCGCATCGTCTATGTGGTGGCATGGCCCCACCTTTTTACAGTTACACGAAAATCATTGGCCATCGGGAAGTTTTGCATGCTCAAGCGATGACCTGCCCGAGCAAAGGAAAATAGCAGCGACAGTCGTCAAGCCTGAGCAGTGCATAGTCAACGAACTACTCAACAAATATTCTGGGCTAAGCAAAATCCTGCGGATTGTGGCATATTGCAGAAGGATGCTTAGGAAACAACCCATTGCACCAACCAATGTAATTTCTTCGGTTGAAATCTCGCTCGCAATGGAAGCGGTTTGCCGAGCGGTGCAAAAACAAGTTTTCCCCAATGAATACGCGGCATTAAAACGGGGAACCAATATCAATACGAGCAGCCGTTTGTTATCGTTATCGCCATTTATAGATAAAAATGATCTAATTCGAGTAGAGGGTAGGCTCAAAAATTCGGACTTAGATTTCTGTGTGCGCCACCCCATTCTGTTGCCACGCAACCACGACTTAACCCGAAAATTAATAAGACACGAACACATTCGCAACAAGCACGCCGGAACGCAGGGTACTGCCATGGCTTTCGTCAGGCAACGATTCTGGCCGCTATCATTGAGATCTGCCACTCGCAAGATAATACAAGAATGCATAGTTTGTTTTCGAGCAAAACCGTGAGGTTCCGAGGCTTTAATGGGATCGTTGCCCGCCGGGCGTGTTAACCCCTCTAGGCCATTCCCGCATTGTGGGGTGGATTATGCCGGACCGGTCATTCTTCGCGAGGGAAGCAGACGCAACGCACGAAATCATAAGGCTTACATAGCCATTTTTGTGTGTTTCGCCACAAAGGCCGCGCACATCGAGGTCGTAAGTGATCTGACAACAGACTGTTTTAGTGTTTTCTCGGCGCTTTCAAGCGCTTCATCGCGCGAAGAGGGAGGCCGACTCACATGTACTCGGACAACGGGACCACTTTCGTCGGGGCAAAAAAGCAAATTAAAGAATTATACGAATTTCACAATAAGCAAGAAACGCAAGCCGATTTCAATCAATTCTGTACTAACGAGGTCATTACCTGGGGGTTTATCCCGCCTAACGCTCCTCATTTTGGCGGTTTGTGGGAGGCGGCGGTAAAATCCGCCAAGTACCACTTGTCTAGAATCGTGGGCCAAGCCCATTTAACGTATGAGGAACTGCAGACCGTATTGTCTGAAATCGAAGCCGTACTAAATTCGCGCCCTATCACACCATTGAGCGAGGACCCAAACGATTTATCTTATTTAACTCCGGGTCACTTTCTGATTGGCACAGCACTAAATAGTTTTCCTTACAGAGATCTCAGTGAAATCAATGTAAACAGGCTGCTACGCCGGCAGCGGGTAGAGCAGCTTAGACAGCAATTTTGGCGCAGGTGGAGTAGCGAGTACTTAAGTTCGTTGCAGGAAAGATCGAAATGGAGGCAGAATTCGGGCATCCAATTACGTCCCAATCAACTCGTGCTCGTGAAGCAACAAAACCTAGCTCCCCTACAATGGACATTAGGTCGCGTTGTGGAAATCCATCCCGGATCCGACAACATCGCAAGAACCGCAACAGTAAAAACCGTTAAGGGTACCTACACAAGGCCCTTGTCGAAGCTCGCGATACTGCCTTTGGAAACCCCAACGACAGACTAATTAGAATAACAGTCATGCGTAATAGTTTGTAATGCGAATATTTAGTTATTGTTAGATATCCTAAGTTTTTTTTTGCGTCATAGGTACAATTGTGTTACTGAGTCATACATGTACGTATCTTAAGGCTCTCCCATTTCGTTTTCTTTCTATTTTTTTTGTTTTGTTCATCTTGAAAGTGTATTCTTTCAAGGGGGGCGGCGTGTTCCGTATTCACTATAATAGTTTTATGTATCCCTTAATTCAAATCGCCCGCTTGTAGTTATGTCCACGCGTTCTCCTGAGCGCCCTTCCGCGCGAGTGGTTCCGGCGACACCGCCGCCAGCATGATGGCGTTGTGCGTACCCTTTGCCCCCAAAATTAACAAAGGAAGGAGAGCTCTCAGAGTAGTCAGTCGTCGTTATCGTCGTTACCGAACCACATCAGCGTGCGCTACGCATAAGAACTGCCCTTGTAACCGAGTCACCAAATAAAGGCTAGTGCGAGAGAAGACATCTTCTCGTCCGTATATTGTGAAGTAATTATTCCACCAGTATATACGGCGGGTACATGCCCGACAATTCCGCAAATCTATCGTACAGATAATATTATTCTAAAAATGTCAAATTTTGTGCCAAGTAAAGAGTACATTATGAGATATTACACACTACAAAAGGTGTGATATCACGTAAAAAACTTACCTTCTTAAAAAAAGGTAGAAAAAAGCACCAAGTATAAGCTCCAATTCAACCGAATATATTTTGTTACTCTATCTTTTTTGCAAAAGTATATTTTCTACAAAAATATCTTCACTACAAAACTATCTTCTCTACAAAAGTAATGATACCAACAAATTGCGCCAAATATAACAACGGATATTTATACAAACTAGTTGCTTTAGTATTAGTTTTTGATTAAAAAATGTTATATTTCTTAAAAATCAAACTAAAGATTTTATTGGAAAAAATAATGGAGTTAATAATAAAACACCGATGAAAAGAATAGCAACTGTTTAGAAATTTAGAAACTCTGTATCTATTCAGGCGAA